TTTAACAAGGGGGAGTAATAAAAAGCAACAGCTTTGTTCTCTTGTGCCTCTCCTAGCCTTTAGAACAGAACTGCGTGCTTCCAAGCACATTTGTTCTGCCTGGTTTGTTCTGCAGGGGCTTGATCCTTATGATCATTTGAAGTAAATGGCAAAACTCCCACTGGCTTTTGTTAGCACAGGATCAGAGTCCATTGGTGTTGACTCTAATACACCTATACAACAGGCCGGGGGCAGAGGAAGAAGGAGAGATTAAAGGGTGCACCAGAAGGCAAAGAGTGGTCCCTCAACCATTTATTTACCCAGTTATTTATAGCGAGGGCCCTACCAAATTCACAGCCATGAAAAACGCGTCATGGACCGTGAAATCTTGGTCCTGCTAGTGAAGGCAGGGGGCTGGACTCGATGACCTTTCAGGGTCTGGGACAAACAGGTTCTCAGTTTCCCCCTCTGTCTCCCCAGGGTTATTCAGATCTTCATAACAGTTTGAGTTTGAGCCAATGAAAAAGAGAAACAACATAACGTTTTTGTCTCTCTCGTCCACGCTGCTTGACTAGCTGATCAGGCCCTGCAGAGGGAGTCCATTGTTCATGTAAATCCTCAGCAGGGGTAAATAAGTGGTGGATCTGCCCTATCTTCTGTAGCAGGGCGCTGGTGTAAAAGCACCTAATTAGCCCCTGCCCGGTCGGCTCCAATCAAGGGAAGTAGAGTGGGGCTGATGGAAAAGGCCTGATGCCAGCCAGAGGATTGGCAACACCTGCTGGCCTGACAATCCAAGGGCTATAAAGGCTGAGAGAGAGGCAGGAGGCAGCAAGGGAGAAGCCAGTCAGTAGGTCAGGGAGGGAGGGAGCTGGAGGCCTTCTAGCTGAAGGCTGACTCTGCCTGTAAAGGGTGTATATTGATGAACACTGGTGGTTGGACAACCTTAAGTAAATAAAGACACGGGTGTTGCACAACCCTGAGGCCTCTCTGAGAGCAAGCGGGCCCCAGGAAGAGAGGTGGGTCGTGAACCCCGTTACACGGCCATTCTGCAAAACTGCAAAGAAGGGTCATAAATGCACTTTGTTTTCCAAACCACTTTCTTTTTCAACCTAAACCTAATACCCAATCCCCAAACAACTGGCTAAGTGATTTTCGGAGGGCCCAATCCTACATTCTTTATACAGCTGAGCTCTCAGTGTGCAAGGAATGCAGGATCAGGCCCCAGATATGCAAAATATTTATTATAGCCTATCTTCACAAGCATAAAATATATTGTCTAGTCAGGACATTAATAAGCAGAGAAGAAGTGAAAAATGTGTTCTTAAGAAAAGCATTTTCTGTTCTTCATCTAAAAGATGCTGACATGTTGTCTCACACTCCAGCTTGCTTGGCTGCGCTAAAGAATGTAGTATGTTTCCTTTATAAGAGTTTGATACTATGTTCTCGTTTGGGAGATTTCATTTTCATTATTTTCACACTGTCCTCCAAGGACAGGGATTCCACAACCTCCCTATGTAACCTGTTCCAGTGGTTAACTATCCGTATAGTTAAAAGTTTTCCGAAAATCTAACCTGAATCTCCCTTGCTACAGACTAAGTCAATTACTTGTCCTACCTCCAGTGAACATGGAAAGCAACTGATCACCATCCTCTTTATAACAACCATTTCCATATTTGTAGAGTTCTCAGATCCTCCCTTCCCCACACATCTTCTTCTCTAGATTGCACAACATTTCTCTTGCTTTCCAAACGTCTGTTGTTGTTGTTGTTTCTGCTGCTCTAATCTGGACTTTCTCCAATTTGTTCACATCTTTCTTACAGTGCAGTACTCCAAACTGAACACGGTACTGCAGCTGAGGCCTCACCAGTGCTGATATAATGCCTTATATGTAATCTACTGGTATATTTTATAGACGACTTGAAAAGAAGTCGTTATTTTCCTGCAACATTTGAAATGTAAGGCAAACCCATTATACTCCTACACTGGGTCATTACACACATTGAATCTATTGCCCCATGTTAAGTATCCTCACACCTTGTCAACTGTCTAGAATGGGCCATCTTGATTATCACTACAAAAGGTTTTTTTTCTCCTGCTGATAATAGCTCATCTTAATTAATTAGTCTCTTAGAGTTGGTATGGCAACTCCCACCTTTTCATGTTCTCTGTATGTATATATATCTTCTTACTATATATTCCATTCTATGCAACCGATGAAGTGGGCTGTAGCCCACAAAAGCTTATGCTCAAATAAATTTGTTAGTCTCTAAGGTGCCACAAGTACTCCTGTTCTTTTTTCTAAAATTTACTAAAATTGACACCCAACTTTTTAGTTTAGTTTATATATTTCTAAGGCATCTGTCACCTTGGTACCTTTTTATTTTTTTGGGGTGCATTTATTTAGATGTGCAAAAAAAAGTGACAGAGCAGATATCATTTCTTCATACTTGTTCAATTCAAAAAATGTTAGTGGACAACCTGCAAACTATAACAACTGCACCTGAGTGTGTCTGGGACTGACACGTGAATAAACTAGAAAAGCAAAATCAGTGCTAAGAAACGGCTGATGGGACTTCTCTTACACAAAGGTTTGTGACTTTTGGAGGCGTGAGGATTGGTGATGGCGGGGGAGGGGGAGCGATGATTTTGTTTTGTTTTTTAAGAACAGTACAACTGAATTTTGGGGATCCCGAAGAGTGGACAGGAAAAAAAATATACCAGAAATGTACTAACCAGATGCCAGAAGAAAAGATTGGGGGAGAGTAGTCAACAGCAAGAGGAGGTGGAGGGCAAAGGAGAAGTGATAAGGAGCTCTACCCCCACCCACTCGAATCTGACTGCGGTCCCTGATTCCTATTTGAGAGCACTAACTCTCTTATCAGCCTCTGCCTTGTAGCTATGATAAATTTGGGATCTTTGTCCACCATTAGCTGAAAGAAGGCGCTTTCTCTCTCTTCCCCAGCCCAAACCTGATCCCTGTTGGCTGCTGGAGGAGGGGATGTCCTCTCTAGCCCTTCCATTGATCTATTTACTGCAAAGGTGGGGAGGGGGCTCTTCCAGCCTCCTGATGCTTTTGGGTCCTCCCGCATGGGTAGTTCCAGCATGGAAATGGAAATGAAGCTTGTCCCTTGCTCTGTCACCTACAGCGTTCTCAACTGCTGCTGTGAAACTGAGCAGCCGAATGAAAAAAGTATGGACTGGATGAATGGACTATAAGGTGGATAGAAAGCTGACTAGATCGTCGGGCTCAATGGGTAGTGATCAATGGCTCCATGTCTAGTTGGCAGCCAGTTTCAAGCGGAGTGCCCCAGAGGTCGGTCCTGGAGCCAGTTTTGTTCAATATCTTAATTAATAATCTGGAGGATGGGATGGATTGCACCCTCAGCAAATTTGCAGATGACACTAAGCTGGGGGGAGAGGTAGATAGGCTGGAGGGTAGGGATAGGGTCCAGAGTGATCTAGACAAATTGGAGGATTGGGCCAAAATAAATCTAATGAGGTTCAAAAAGGACAACTGCAGAGTCCTGCACTTAGGATGGAAGAATCCCATGCACTGCTACAGGCTGGGGGCCGACTGGCTAAGCAGCAGTTCTGCAGAAAGGGACCTTGGGGTTACAACGGATGAGAAGCTGGATATGAGTCAGCAGTGTGCCCTTGTTGCCAAGAAGGCTAATGGCATATTGGGCTGTATTAGTAGGAGCATTGCCAGCAGATCAAGGGAAGTGATTATTCCCCTCTATTCGGCACTGGTAAGGCCACATCTGGAATATTGCATCCAGTTTTGGTCCCCCCACTACAGAAGGGATGTGGACAAATTGGAGAGAGTCCAGCAGAGGACAACAAAAACGATTAGGGGGCTGGGGCACATGACTTACGAGGAGAGGCTGAGGGAACTGGGCTTATTTAGTCTGCAGAAGAGAAGAGTGAGGGGGGATTTGATAGCAGTCTTCAACTACCTGAAGGGGGGTTCCAAAGAGAATGGAGCTCGGCTGTTCTCAGTGGTGGCAGATGACAGAACAAGAAGCAATGGTCTCAAGTTGCAGTGGGGGAGGTCTAGATTGTATATTAGAAAAAACTATTTTTTTTCTGGGTAAGGAATGGTGTTCCTAGCCTCTGTTTGTCAGAGGGTGGTGATGGATGGCAGGAGAGAGCACTTGATCATTGCCTGTTAGGTTCAGTCCCTCTGGGGCACCTGGCATTGGCCACTGTCAGTAGATAGGATACTGGGCTGGATGCAGGGCCGGCTCCAGGCACCAGCTGAGCAAGCTGGTGCTTGGGGTGGCAGATTGTTGGAGGCGGCATTCTGCCCAATCCTAGGGCGGCACGGCCGCTTTTTTTGTGTGTGTATGTGTGTGTGTTCTTGTTCTTCTCCGGCCGCCCTGTAGGCGCGGAGAACCAGAGCGCCCTGCAGGGCAGTCCTCTTCCTTCCCTCCCCACCGACCGGAGCGGAGCCCTCGTGGCAGGCGGCAGGAGGTGGCGCAGCGGGAGGGACTGTGTGGCAGCACCCCTGCTGTAACCCTGGCTGCCCCCTTCTCTCTCTCTCCCGCCCGCTCCCTCCCCCCCCCTGCTGGTCCCCCTGCACCCGCGCTCCGGACGCGCCGCAGGTTTTTTTTGCTTTGCCGTTCTGGCCGCCCTGTTTTTTTTGTTTTGTTTTGTTTTGTTTGGGGCAGCCAAAAAGCCAGAGCCGGCCCTGGCTGGATGGACCTTTGGTCTGACCCAGTACAACCATTCTTGTTCTTATTATTAGGAGGGTGGTGAAGCACTGGAATGGGTTATCTAGGAAGGTGGTGGAATCTCCATCCTTAGAGGTTTTTAAGACCCAACTTGACAAAGCCCTGGCTGGGATGATTTAATTGGGGTTGGTCCTGCCTTGAGCAGGGGGTTGGACTAGATGACCTCCTGAGGTCTCTTCCAACCTTAATCTTCTATGATTCTATGAATTTCACATAGCTACTCCTTGGCAAAACTATGCACAGCAGGGGAGGCACAGGAGCTGTCTTTCTGCAGACTCTGGAAGACATCAGTGCATCAATTCATATTCCGGAGTTTCTCTCTCCGACCACAAGGGCCACAGGTTGGTCCCCTGGGCCTTCCACCGCCCCCTCTTAACGTGCTGGTAGGGACTTTCCGCCCCCGGGTTAGTGGCTTTCTCCAGCCCGTCGGCACGATGCTGTGCGCGCTTCAAAACGAGAGCGAAACATTTACACAGCGCACAGGCTAGAGCAGAGACCTGGGGGAAGAGGAAGCTGAAGTCACAGGCAAGCGAAAATGCCTAGTGTCAAGAGGGGTCGAAACCTTCCGCGGAGGTGGCAGGCAGCCGACCAAGCCGCGCATGCAGGCTGATTGGATGGACGATTCTCTGCCTGGCGGTCCAGCCCCGTTACTCCGAGCCGCTCGGGAGACATCCCAGACAACTGGAGAAACAGGGGGAACGGGGGGAGCGGAGGCTGGGAGGCTGCATCGGGCCATGGGAGGGAGGGCTGGTTAAGCCTCCCATGGACCTCCCGGAGTTTTCCCTGGGATTTCCCGCGGGACCTCGCCCTGAGTCCGAAGGCGGCTGGAGCTGGAGCTGGCCACGCGTGGTTCCCGTCGCTCCACCGAGCCGGGGAGACAGAGGAACCGGGGCAGAGCGGCGGCCAGAGACGGAGCCCCGTGGTTCGCCCGCAGCCGGGCGCAGCGGCCGCCTCCCGGGCGGGTCGGAGCCCCAGCGCCTGGGACGCCGCTGCTCTGCCGGGGGCCCGCTAAGGCGCCTGCCCGCCGCCCTAGGCTGCACCTGGCCGCCCCATCGCTGCGTTTCCCGGACACCGTCCCGCCCCGGCAGCGTGCCCGGCCCCCAGCCGGCGAGAAGCCCCCGCTCCGCAGCCGCCCGGCACCTCCGTCCCCCCCGGCGGGGCTGGGCTTTCCCCTCCCCGTCCCGCGCGGGCTGAGCTCCCGGACCCTCCTCCCCGGGGGCCAGCGCCCCGGCCGGGCCGGGCTCTTCCCTCGCTCCCGATGGCCGCCGCCGCCGAGTACAGCTGCCGGGACAGCCGCACCATCCAGGGCGGCGAGTCGGCGCTGCCCGGCTCGCTGCTGTTCAGCGCCGGGCTGCTGGGGAACCTGCTCGCCCTCTTCCTGCTGGGCCAGCAGCGGCTGCGGCGCGGGCGGCCCCCGCGGGCCTCCGCCTTCTACCTGCTGGTCAGCGGGCTGGCGGTGACCGACCTGCTGGGCAAGTGCCTGCTCAGCCCCATGGTGCTGGTGGCCTACGCCCGCAACCGGAGCCTGAGCGAGCTGTGGCCGGGCGGCGGGGAGCCGGGCCGCCTGTGCCAGCTCTTCGCCTTCCTCATGGCCTTCTTCGGGCTGGCGCCCACGCTGCTGCTGCTGGCCATGGCCCTGGAGTGCTGGCTCTCGCTGGGCCACCCCTACTTCTACCAGCGCCACCTGCGGCGCTGCCGCCGGGCCGCCGCCCTGCTGGCCCCGGCCGCCGCCGCCGCCCTGGGCGCCCTCTTCTGCGCCCTGCCGCTGCTGGGCTTCGGCGCCACCGTGCAGTACTGCCCGGGCACCTGGTGCTTCATCCGCATGGCCGGCGGCAGCGCCCCCGCGCGGGGCTACTCCGTGCTCTACGCCAGCCTGCTGGGCGCGCTGGGGCTGGCCATCGGGCTCTGCAACCTGGCCAGCATGCGCAGCCTCTACCGCATGGCCCGCCGCTCCCACCGCCGCAGCGTCCCCACCGCCGGCCGGGCCCCCGCCGGCCCGCGCATGGAGGAGCTGGATCATCTCGTCCTGCTGGCCCTCATGACCGTCCTCTTCACCGTCTGCTCCCTGCCCCTCATCGTGAGTACCGGCCCCGGGAGCTGGGGAGAGAGGGGTGGGCGGGATGGGGTGGGGGGCAATTCTTGGTTAAGGCCCCGATCCTATAGGGTGCCCGTGCGCCCACTGTAACTGTAGCCATCCTGATCCCAAGGGCCGTCTTCCCACTGGCTTTGGGTCCCGCCGGAGTAACATCCCCCTCGCCCCAGTATAGCTTTACCCCCTCCTTGCGAGGAACTGGCTTGTTCCTGGTCCAGCCTAACCCCTGGTCCTAGCCTGGAAGCACTGGGCAGCGAGGCTGGTGCTTCTAGGGGCACCGGGCAAACGGGAGGGCTGGGGCGCTGTGTACCATTCAGGGGGTCCACGGCACTCCTGCCTCTCCACCCGCGGGGGTGTATTCTGCACCCAGGGTTTGCCACTGGGGAACACTTGGGTTTAAAATCACATCTATCCTGGCAACTCAGTTGTGAAGGGGCCTATTTCGAGGGGGCCTTTGGAGCAGGGGCTTTCAGGTGCAGCCAGGCAAACAGGGTTTTGGGACACACCAATCCTGCCAACACTGGGCCGTGAAGTCAAAGGAACTACGCCAGTGGGTAAGCGGTTGCCCACCACACCCACACAAAGGGGATCAAAGCTAGGGAGTGAAATTCTCTCCCCGCTGATGTTAATGGCTGGGATTTCCCATCCTGATTCCTCTGCCCCCTTTATATTCCTTAGGAGGGCAAAAGGGAGCTGGAAACTTAGCACCACTGCCCAGGTGTTAGCGGTGGTCAGGATGAGTGGGGCGAACCCCCTGTACGTATGCTTGCTGCAGTGAACAAATGCAATGGAGCGAGTGCAGATAAAGGCCCAGTAGCTCTAACTAAAAGGATGCGGGTAACTTGTTATCACTACCAGCCTTCTGGAACTGATCACTTTTGGGGCATTGTTCTTGGGCGAGGCGGATGCACAGAGGCACATGGGCTGATAAACCAGCGGAAGGCGCTGGGTGCCGTTGAAAGCTGACCAGGGCAGCAGCGACGGAGGAGGGTTAATTGTTTAGCTCCCTGCAACCTGAAATGGGTGGGTGGACCGAGTCTCTGTCCTTTGGCACTCCTGCTGACAGTCTCAGCAGAGATACCAAGGACTGAGTGGATAGGGACATTGATCTACCCTCTCAGCTCTGCAGTCCATGTTGAACCTTTTCTGGGGGAGCAATCTAGCACCTTTCCACCAGCACTAAAAACTTCTTAAGAGCAGACAAAGAAGGGGAAAAAAGCGTGATATGGGCACCACGAGGTGCCTGGATAGATTCTCCTCTTAAACTGTGGGTATGCTCTCACAGTGACCTTAAAAATGACACCTCCTTGCTCCATTTACTCTCTAAGCTCCGTGTCTCGCCTGTTTGAATCGACTAAGGAACCCCCCCAGTTACTCATAAAACAAGGGGCAAGTAAGGAGGTGAACCCCTTGCAGATTACATTGTGTCATGGTTATTACGACGCAGACAGTAAGACAGTGGCTTGCTTTCACTTCAGAGACAGTTATTAGAAACAACCGCATGTTGCCGCAACTCTTGCAAGCTGCACTTTTTCTGAGGCACTGTCAACAAAGCTGACAGCAAAAGCTTTCATTCCAGAGTCACACTGTTGCGTATAGCGTCTGAAGTATAAACAAGGCAACTTGACTTATGGTCAGGGAGATTTTGTGCTAAGCCCCAGAAAGATCCTATTTTGATGAGTACACTGAGAAGTTTAGTACAAAGTTTCTGTCCATCAACCAACAAGGAACACCAATGTTTGTGTATTTTCAGAGTCACTTTTCCACCTGTACCCACAGTTTAAAGGAGACTCGAGTCTGTTCAGGCACATGCCCAATGTATTAACATTGTGAAAAATCTGAAACCTTCAATCAAGCATCATTCATCTCCCACAAATCACTCAAATCTTACCACGTTCTCCTCACATGCACCTGATTTCTTATGCGAGGGAGGTTTTCATGTCCTTTTTTCTCTCAAACATTATCCATTTTATTGATCCGTGTCTCCAGCACTGGATAACACTCTGAACTTCGTATTAACATGTAGCGTTTCACAGAAGAAAGTTGGCTGTGCTAACTTAAGAACTACTCCTGCAAACAGTTATGTAATGGGCCACTCTCCTTACCACTTCAAAAGTGATTTTTCCTCCCTTGGTATCCTGCTGTTAATAGATTTGTCTCGTTAGACTGACCTCACACTCGGTAAGGCAACTCACATCTTTTCATGTATTTATACTTGCTCCTGTATTTTCCACTCCATGCATCTGATGAAGTGGGTTCTAGCCCACGAAAGCTTATGCCCAAATACATTTGTTAGTCTCTAAGGTGCCACAAGGACTCCTCATTAGTTATGCATTAGGTTACTCGTGTGAGTGCTCCCATATACTGCAATGGGGTTTAGGGTCATTCATGTTTTGGCTGTCCCTAAACCTCTGACTCCCAGAAGCTGGGATTAGACGACAGGGGATGGATCACTCGAGAAGTTGCCCTGTTCTGTTCATTCCTTCTGAAGCATCGGGCACAGGCCACTGTTGGAAGACTGGCAGGCGCGGCGCCAGGGTTTTTGGCACCCTAGGCGGGGGTCCTTCCGCGCTCCCGGTCGTCGTCGTCAATTCTGCGGCGGGGGGTCCTTCCGCGCTCCCGGTTGTCATCATCAATTCTGCGGCGGGGGGTCCTTCCGCGCTCCCGGTCTTCGAGGCACTTCGGTGGCGGGTCCTGGAGCGAGTGAAGGACCCGCCGCAGAATTGCCGCCGAAGACCCGGAGCGCGGAAGGACCCCCCGCCGCCGAATTGCCGCCCCCCCCCAAATCCTGGCACCCTAGGAAGCGCCGGCCCTGAAGACTGGATACTGTGCTAGATGGACCATTGGTCTGACCCAGTCCGGCTTTTCTTCTGGCATTATTCATATGAGTAGGGTTACTACTCAGGACCGTATGGATTTAAATGATCAAGCCCTTATTTTCCATCCACAGCTTCACTTGTGTAAATGTGAAAGTACTCTGAAAACTGGCTTAATTCAGTAACCTATCTCATCCAGATCCATCACGTATCTTAACACTGTTGTATATATGAAAGTATGGTTTGGAGGGAAAAAAGCCATTAAATCAAAATGCAGTTACTTTAGTGGTGCCCATTAGTGCAGTTAAGGACATCTCAATATTCAAAATGTCTTTGTCAGTGATTTCCAGCTACAAAATCAAAACTAATCAAATGTGAGATCTTAACCACAAGGAGAGACTTAGGGGCTGAATTTGGAGGAAAAGATGCCAAAGAAACAAACCACATACACAATTTTAGAAGCTTTTATGTGGGTGGAAATACAATCTGGTAGATTTTATACCTTTAGTATGCTTCACCCACCTCCCGTGCCAGTCACCCCTCTTTAGCTCAGAGAGGTTTCTTTTTTTTTTTTAAAGCATAATTTTGCAGGTAATCATTAGCCCTTTTGTTTCACGCTACAGGTTTTGAAGGAAACCATTATTTTAAAAACAAAAGGAGCATTGTGCTTGAGAGAATGGGTTGTTACCTATCATGCATAACAATTCTTTTGACCAGCCAAAAAGTTAATATATTTTTGGGGAGAGGGGATGTGATGCCACTTTGCATGAGCTGTGATCCATCCAGTTTAGTCAGCCAATTAGATTTCGCTACATACGTCAGACTAAAGTTTAGGATGTGCAGAGACGCATCTTTTAGCACCCAAACTACATTCTGGAACCTGTCTATATCACATATGCCATGTACTCCTGTGCAAGTTCAGACAGAGTATCGGAACTGATCTTATAATCCACAAACAGCTGGGGCAACGTAAATAGGCATCCAAAAGCATATACCCCATTGACAAGGCTGTTAATCAGCCAAGGATACCAGCTTTTATATTTCACATTCAGAAGTGAATACGCTGCACCTCCACTACACAGCGGCTACAGAAAATAGGACACATATTTCATAGCCTGGGTATCGTATTCCTCAGTTCTCTTTTCAGATTCATTGTATGCCCCAAATGTTTTTACCTAGAAAATTGAAATGGCCTCAACACAAAACAAAGAACGTTAAAGGTTTGCTAAGACCACAAAAGGGAGAAAACGCCCAGTTGAGGATCTTCCAAAGCCTATGCAGAATGCCCTGTCTCCTTATCAACGGGTCTGGGTGGTGTTAGACCCTAATTGTAAACATCATTGCTTTTGTGGTCTTGTGTTAGCCTGTTAATGGGAAAACCTTTCAGTGGGGTTTTTAATAGATACATTTATAGTGGTTCTCCAAGACAATAAACAGTGGTTAAGTGCTGTATTTCTATATGGACTTTCCTATCCTATCCTTTTTTAGAAAAGGAGACAAATATACAATGTGATGTTGCACGGCTACCCACTGGTAATTTTCCAGCTGAATAATACAGGTGGGATAAAGATCTTGTAAGAGAGTTCAGGAGTTTTGTTTTTAAAATACCTGTGCATTGCAAAGGGGAAAAAACATTCTTCTCCAAAGTATTGTTATGACTCCAGGATCCAAGTTGTCGGAGAAGTTTTAGCGGTCTCTGGGCAAAGAAGATAAAGCCCCTGAGCTGCACAAAAATACCATAATCTCTCCTTCAATCTGAACAGTGACTAAAGAAATAGAGCATGACCCTGAATCTAGTGAAAGTAAAAAGTGGGCAGTGTCTGCTTCACGTAAATAGTGATTATTAAATTTACAAGGGAAAGTCAACACCGCACACCCAAACTAAGCCAAAGAAGCACTTTGAGGAGCGCATACGCTCTCATGTGTTTACATGTGTTTTAATTTTTTTCACCCACTTTCCATTATTATTATTTATTTGTTTTGTGGTCGTTCCTAGGAGCTGTAGTCATGGGCCAGGGCCCACAAATGTGCTAGGTGCTGCACAAACACAGAAAAAGACAAATCTCTGCCCAAAGAATTTACAGTCTAAGTACTTAGAATCATAGAACCACAGGGTTAGAAGGGCTTTTTTAGAATCTAATCCCCTTCTGTGTATCCCTTCTACACTTCTGCATCTCAGCAGGAAATCACATGCCTCTGCAAAGTAAAACAAAATGACACCAGGCTTTAAAGATATTTAGACACCCATCTGTACCATTAGGCACCTAATTCTGTGAGAGCTAGGCACCTTTGAAAAAAATCTCACTAGGTGCCTCTCTGCATCCAAATGCCTTTAAAAATCTGTCCCTAGATTATGATGCCAGCCTCCAGTCCAGTTGTCACGGACTCACAGATTGTGCCCACCCTTGGCCCCGTGCGGTCCATGGGGGGTGCCCCTTTTAGTGAGACAGCCCTTCTCGGGGGTCCACTCTCTCTCGGGGTCAGGCCCCTCCACCTCCTGGATCCGCACCTCTCAGAGCCCTAGCACACCTGTTTCTCGCCGTAGGCCCCCTCGGGGAGTCCACTCGCTCTGGACCCCCCGGGCCTCCACCCCCAAAGGGGTTGATGCCACCCTGTTCTCTAGACCGGAGTGACTCTCAGCCAGCATGAAACAGGAGGGTTTATTGAGAGTTGAACACAGCACAGGAAACTCTCAGGGCCTCAGGCCTGGCCTCCCTCAGCCCAGCACATCCCAGTCTCTCTGCATCCAGGTGGGCTCTGCCTGCTCCCCCTCTCCAGCCCAGAGCCCCCCTGCTCCCAGCTGGGCATCTGAGATCACCGGCCCCAGGCCCCGCCTCTGTCCATTGTCTTCTCTCCAGGTAAACAGGGTTGTAAACCGGGGCCTCCTCTCCTCGCTTCTGTCCTCTGACTGGAACCGGCTGGTTAGGTCACTGGGTCCTCACTCTGCAGCCCATTGTCCGCCCACTGGCCAGAACTGGCTGCGTCTCCTCAGCTGGGCCTCCAGGTCGCCAGGTCACCAGTTGCTGGGGTATCCATCCTCCCGGCCATCGGCTGGGTCCCCGAGTCCTCTGTCCGATCTTCTGCAAAACACACTCCCTCTGCCCTCACCTCGTTAAACCAGTAACACCCAGGGAAACTGGGTCCCACCCCCTCCACATGCAAACCATTGAAACTCCACAGAAAACAAGAAAAACCCCCACTTTGTCACACCAGTTCTACCTGATTCTGATCACATTTATGCCACAGAAAACTCTGCGTAACTCCAACAAAATCAATAGAGTTATCCAGGATTTACTCTGAGGTGCCTGAGGGTTTGTCTACACCTGGAGCAATTTAGGAATAGCTATTCCAGCATAATTCCATGCGTAGACAAGCCCTAAGACCATAATAGAACTCAAAGGTGATACATTACTGTGTCCACAAGGGGGCACTCTTACTGCACAGTAATCATCTTAATACTAAAACATGCGAAAACCGTTAATTTTTGGAGATGATGACTTCATAGTAAAAATGGAGTGTATTTTTTTAAAGCAACATTGAAGTTTCAAATCATTCAATGTTGCAAATCTTTAGTTACTATAAACACAACAGAGACAAGGTGGGTGAGGTGATATCTTTTGTTGGGCCAACTTCTGTCGGTGAGAGAGACAAACTTTCCAGCTACACAGACCCGAAAAAGAGCTGTGTGTCAGCTCGAAAGTGTCTCTCTCTCGCCAGCAGAAGTTGGTCCAGTCAAAGATGTCCCCTCATTCCCCTTGTCTCGCTAATATCCTGGGACCGACATGTCTACAACACCACTGCATATAAAACCCAGCACATATACGATTATGGAATAGGTACATTAAAGGAAAGTCTCAAAATAATAGGCTTCATTTTTCTTTCACACCGATTTTCCACCAGTGTTGTTCCATTGATTTCAGTGGAGTTGCTCCTGATTTACACCCATGTCAGTGAGAGGAGAATCGGGTCCAATATGTTCATTTATGTAGGAATGAAAAACAATCATCCCAATCCCTAGATTGGAGGCACTACAACATTTGGACTCTTTGCAGTCTCCATTCTGCCACTGTCTTGCACAGAGGTATTTTGCAATGATCAAAATTCAAAAAGCGATTTTAGCTGCCTGCCCAGAGAGCTGTTGCATGCCACAGAAGCAGACCAAAGATGACACGACATTTTATACATCCGGGAGGAGAAATGAATCCAGCCTTAACTCTGACCCAAGAAGCATCGTTATGAATTCTTTCAACACGTACATCACTGGGTTGTTTTTATAAACACAGTGTACACGATAAATGTACCTTAAGGATGGAGATGCGGAAAGAGTTCGTTGAACTCTTGCAGAAAGTGTTTCTACGAGCACTCTCACGTAGCCTAGAAAGGATTAACGCTAAGTCGGGCCCACATGCAAAGTTTAAGGCCCCCTTTCCGAGGTTTTGCTCTCTTCCCTCAAAAACGTTCTCAGATGGTTCACCCACAGACCAGTAGTTGTCTGCAGAGACCTGACTAGACACACGCTGCTAGCTCTTCCTCCTCATTTCCATTGCCTAAGTGTTTGCAGGATTGGGACCTCACCTTGCCATTTAATGCAACCAGCGACGGGATTTCCTGATCCATTAGCAATCCCGTTAGTCAGAGGATTCTCCAGATGACCTAATTCCTGAGCTCAGGTTTTGCCGCTGCATAGACTTTCTCTTTGTGCTGCCTCAGAAAGAAGGCTGTTTCCTTCCCCAGCTGCCATGCGTCCCTATGATCTGCCATGTTTGCTAACACTAAATAGTTCCTTATACGTTCTCTTTCCCAGTAGTTCTGTTTCACAGAGATGGGGCCTGATCCTCCTCGCCCACCAGGGGAAAAATAAATCACAGGTAACTCGATGGACGTTAAGAGAGTTACGTGAGTGCCAAGTGAAAGGAGAATCAGGGCGTATCATGCCTTTCATTCAAGCATTTAAGGCTTCACAAATATGGGGTGCTGTTATTCCCTATGTTAGGGACAGATAAAGTCTAGTTCACATCCTCAGCCTCTGTGTCACAGGACCGGGATGTGGCAGTCCCGCCCAGCTGTTGGCAGCAAGCCCAAAGGGGCTGGGGCTATGATCTGCTAAGACTAGAGGCGCCAGGGCTCAGCCCTCACACGCCCTGGCACAAATTAAGCCCTGGAGTCAGCGCAGGAGTCGGGCCGAGCCCCAGGGGTGGTCAGTGCCCAAGGCAGGGATCAGAACCAGGTTACCTGGAATGAGCCAAGGCAGGGACAGCCAGGGGCAAATCAAATGCTTTGAGGCGTTGTCTCTTCCCACCATCATGGTGTAGCCCATCAGCTGCTTTGCACTGCGCTGCCGGGGCTCCCTGATCCAGGGAAATCCCAGGATGGTATAAAGCTGCACGTCAGCCACTCCCCTCACCCAGGTGGGGCACGTGTCAGAGCACACAGCACGCTGCCTGATCCTTGGGCAGACCAGCTCTCCTCAGGGGACTGCTCCAGCGGCTGTTACCTGGAGCCTTCCTTAAAGTTGCCTTTAGTTATGCTGGGGACTGCTGTGTTTCCTGGCGGCGCCAGGATCAGAGGAAGGCAAAGGTTGCTTAGAGCCGCCTTGCCCTCCCCAGCTCACCCCAGCTGTGGATCTAGCCTGGGGAAACCGAGGCACAGATAGTTTGGAGAAACCAGTTTATTTCCATCTTAGGAAGCAGCCTTTGCACGTCCTTTAATTTGGCACAAAAGTGCGTTCACGTAGGAAGGGCAAACCCGTCCTCTCAGATCGGTATGTCTGCTGATGACATCCAAGGCCCGTGACTTGGAGGGGGGAGGGATAGCTCAGTGGTTTGAGCATTGGCCTGCTAAACCCAGAGTTGTGAGTTCAATCCTTGAGGGGGGCCATTTAGGAAACTGGGGTAAAAATCTGTCGGGGGATTGGTCCTGCTTTGAGCAGGGGGTTGGACTAGATGACCTCCTGAGGTCCCTTCCAATCCTGATATTCTATTCTATTCTATTCTATTCTATGACACCAGGGCGTAGACTAGAGATTGAATGGGGGCATTGATTAGTTGCCAGCACACAGCCAGAAATACAAGCCCCCTTCTTATCTCCTGCCAGTGCAACACCACTGATTTCCGTGGCACCAGTCATGTGCAACGGAGATCAAAATCAGGCTGTTTTCCTCATGAAACATTTAGTTTATCAAAACCCATCTGTGTTAGCCTTCAAAGCTAACCCCGTGTACCTTAAGTATAATCCGCTGGGCACACTCCTGTGCTCACTTGCACACCAGCTACTGAGTTTGTAAGTTGTTAAACAACTAAAACGTATAGGACCAGATCCTCAATTGGAACCACTGGGCATAGCCCCATCACCAGCTGGGGATCTGGCCCATGAAGTGTAATTACGTGCTCAGAAACTATTATTTTGTTCCCTGATCCCAGATTGGTTACTGACTGATTCATCTGCCTGCCCAGTTGGTTTTAGTTAAGCTCGATGTCAATCTAAGCGAAGCGCAATCTCCGAACGAAACATGTGCCGATTCCGTGCTGGAAAGCAGTCGAGTACAATAATTGAATGTAGGGAGTTTACTCCAGAAGGGCTCTACTTTATTGCCAGCGCTCAGCTTTTATAATCAGATCTTTTTATTTCAAACAGATCCGTGCTTATGTCGGAGCGTTTGCCACTAACCTTGATGAAAAGGCAGACCTGACGGCCCTGAGGTTTCTATCTGTGAACTCCATCGTGGACCCCTGGGTGTTCATCATTTTCAGGACATCCGTTTTTCGCAAGTTCCTACATAGGGTTTGCAGAAGACTGAATTCTAAAAAAGCCGCGACGCCTCGGCTGTTATGAACTAGGCACTGAAGCTGCAGCGGTGAAGAGCTTTCTGCTTTCTTTGATAACTCGAATCGAAGGAATATTGTTCCAGGAATTGTTTACATAATCAAACGGATCGCACTAATTATGCCAATGTTGTGGCTCTTGTAGAAACACTGTAAGAAAATATAAGAATGTATTGCGGGGAAGGTTAAGTGCCTTAGCCGTTCTGCTGCGGACATGCTGCACAGAGAAGAAGCATTCCTCCATTATTGCATTTTTGCCTTTCCTGGCACAGACTGGAACTGAAAGTTTGTGGTCATGTGAGTAACAGTGAATCTTACGAAGTGACAGCGCTCCGCTACCCAGAGAACTTTGTAAAAAGAATATGTTTGTGGTATAAAGTGCTGCTCTCTGATCTTCGGGCCCGCCCGATTCGCCACTCCTATCAGAGTACGGCCCCGATCCTGCAAGATGGGGCCCGTTGCCTTTGGGGTTTCCCATTGATTACAACAGGCTGCAGGCAGACAGACGTGTCTACCCACAGGGATCCGCTTGGAGGATCAAGGCCTAAATCAGGAATCACCAAAGTCTGATAGGGAAAAATAAAACTCTTCATTTGAAAAAGAAATAAAAGCCGTGTGTAGTTTCTTGTAGCTGCCTCCCCACCCCAATAAATCGATCTTGTCATCCAGTAGCCAGATAGTATCCAACCCACAGTACATACAGCGTCAGACCCAGCAGTAATGATTCTATGGGCTTGTCTGCACTGTCGTGTCAGCTCCAGGTATAACTCGAGTGCAGCCCCAACTCCACGCGCACACACACAAACCTCTAGCCTGAGCGCTTGAACACAGGCGGGGGGGGAGGGGGGGCCTGACCCTCCAGTGCTGCTCCCATTCAAGCTAGTAATGCCGTGGGGATTAAGCTATTAGGGGCTGCTAATACAAAGGCTCTGTGCTGCTGGAGTGTTGTTTTGCAGTGTGACGGCTCTCGCTGGGGCTAGTAGATAACGCTCTGCAGTGGAAGACGAGCCCTTTCTCCTGCCTTAGATTTGCACAGAGAACTCGTTCTGGTGGTAGAGACAAGGGGAGTCCTATGTGCAGAACTCCTGCAGTACCCGGCCCCAAGGGAACCTGCAGAGATCTACCCCATGAGTGTATCATAGAATATCAGGGTTGGAAGGGACCTCAGGAGGTCATCTAGTCCAACCCCCCGCTCAAAGCAGGACCAATCCCCAGACAGATTTTTGCCCCAGATCCCTAAATGGCCCCCTTAAGGATTGAATTCACAACCCTGGGTTTAGCAGGCCAATGCTCAAACCACTGAGCTATCCCATCCCATCCCAACCCAACCCAACCCAACTTAACTTAACTTAACTTTGCTCTTCTGAGTAGTCCGTGAATAAAGATACGCAGGGAGGTAAATCTTTGCCAGGTTGGGTCTTAAGACAGTAATCAGGCTTGCAGTGGAGTAATGCATTTACATTTATATACTACAACTGTTCAAGTGCTTTAACTATTCATTGGGGACAAACAAAGGCTGAAAAATATATTTTAGAAAGCAACATCATGTTGCATTGTACGGTTTGTTCAATAAATTATTCTTTAGCCATCATTGAGATTTATACCTAGTTCGTGATTTCCATTGTTTGGTAAACAAACATCACTGATCTTTTGCTTTAACGATGGAAGTTTATGCGACCCGGCTGGGAATTATTGTTCTTACCTGATGCATTTTAGAGGGGCCCTCTCCAAGGTATAGTACAACCTTGACAGTTAGGGTCATGTCAGTCCAATAGCTAGTTGGCTCACTGCAATTATTTTAATACTATCTGTTTGGCAAAATCACTTGATGATTACCTGTTCTGTTCACTCCCTCTGAAGCACCTGGCATTGGCCGCTGTCGGAAGACAGGATATGGGGCTAGATGGACCTTTGGTCTGACCCAGTATGGCCATTCTTATCTTCTTAAAATAAGCAGCAATTTTATGAGAAAAGGCCCAAATGTTCAAAATGGCAGCTGTGAGAACAAAAAGGTCATTTAAACTGAGGTTTGGTCTCCTCCCGTGTCACATGTATAACTGCCATTAATGCTGATGCGAGTTACATACATGTATCAAAGACAGAAACAGCCTTACAGGAATATTTAGAACATGAGACCACGCAGGTATTATTGTGGTACCTGTCTGGTAAAGGGTGTGTTTCAATCTGTGTTTACTCGGCTAATCTAGACACAGGTGCAGTCAGGTTTACTGTCGTATCATGTGATATTTATTCTGCTATATCTGGGCTGGAGTGAGAGTTTTTACAAGGAAAAAACCTGTGCAAATATTTATTGTGAAACTTTGTACCTTAAGAGAAGAAACTTGATGTAGCTGTTTCACAACAGGCTGGGGAAGACTTGTCACGTTCCCATAGTCTACGAAAGATTGCTCTTGGCGTGCATTTCAGCAGGAGACTTCCGGGGCCTCCCCTCCTCCCCAGGCTGGAAGAAAGTCTATGTTTGTCTAGGGCCCAGTGATGAGATAATCCAGCCTTGATGGTGACCCAGCTAGAACCTACCCACACCCCACTGGCAGGTCAGGAAACACTGTTGTAGACAAGCCCTCTTCAGGTGGTACTTTTCCCTCTGAGTAAATGCTAAACCCGTGCCCCAGAATAGAGACGGTGAGCCCTAGTGGATTTAGAAATGATTAAAGGAAATACATCCACAGTTACATTAGATAAGGGATATAAACCATTTTGCTTCAGGGGATCTGCCAACTACTAACTGCCTGGAATTAGGAACAAGCTTCTCCAATGGACCAATTATCTGTTAATTGTACACTGCGGGGTTTCTTATTTTCCTCTGATGTGTCTGATAAAAGCCATTGCCAGAATCATGATACTGGAGTAGATGGGTCACTCAGCGATCTGGCATTTTCCTTCCCGTGCTTGCGTGGCGTTAGAAGAGACAAACCAGAGGTACTCAAAGACCTTTGAGCAGCGCCCTACCAAATTCACGGTCCATTTTGATCAATTTCACGGCCAGAGGGTTTTTAATTGGTCAATTTCACGTTTTTAGATGCTTACATCTGAAATTTCACAGTGTTGTAGTGGGGGGTCCCAATCCAAAAGGCGCCCAGAGGTGGATCTGATCTCTCCCCAGGAGCGGCCGTGCAGGGGAGAATGTTTCTGAATGTTTCAGAGTAGCAGCCGTGTTAGTCTGTATGCGCAAAAAGAACAGGAGTACTTGTGGCACCTGAGAGACTAACACATTTATTTGGGCATAAGCTTTCGTGGGCCATCTTGATTATCACTACAAAAGTTTTTTTTCTCCTGCTGATAATAGCTCATCTTAATTAATTAGGCTCTTAGAGTTGGTATGGCTACTTCCACCTTTTCATGTTCTGTACGTATATATATCTCCTTCCTGTATGTTCCATTCGATGCATCCAGTGAAGTGGGCTGTAGCCCACGAAAGCTTATGCTCAAATAAATGTGTTAGTCTCTAAGGTGCCACAAGTACTCCTGTTCTTTTTGCTGAATGTTGTAGCTCATTCCTAAAATCACTCTGGTCTCTCGCATTCCATCCTCGAGGTGGCAGCATTTCACCAATTGGTGAAATAGGAGTGGATCCTGCAAACCCGTCAAGTATAGTGTTTCTAGTTTCATTGAAATCTGTGGGCCTCTGTGCAGCAATAAACACTGTGATCAGTAGGAAGGGTTTGTAAGGTTGGGCACCACGGGGTACAGTCCTTCCTGCTACAAGATGCTCTAAAAATGTAACAGTAAAGAGGACTCCAAAGAGACAGATTTTTAAGATATTAGTGAATAGTTAATCACCTGACCAGGGAGTTGAACCTTGGACCCTCAGATTAAAAGCCTGATGCTCTGCCAACTGAGCTCGTGGTGTGAATGAAATCCTGGCCTACTTAGGTCAGCCCTTTATTTACAAATGCCTACTACCAGAGGTGAGCAGTAAGGCTAAGATCTAGTCATGGGTATTTATAGGAAAAGTCATGGAGTGGTCGTGAATTTTTGTTTATTGCCCATGACCTTTCCTATAAATACCCATTACTAAATCTCTGCTCTTGGGCCCCTCTGCTCTGGGGGGGGGCCCTTGCTCCAGCGGTGGGGGCTGACTAGCCCCGGTGGCCCGCTGCTCCGAGGCCCCCAGGGACCACTCTCCCGATGGCCTCCAAGGCCGCCCCCGGGCCACTGCTTTGACCGCACCTGGGATGGCTGCTGCTCGGGTGGTCCCCAGGGCCAGTGGCGCCAGCCGCACCAGCCACTGTTCGGGG